CAAAAATCCTCTTGCTACACCTTTAAAGTCAGCACTACTTCTTCAAGTGATAACGATGGAGGAGTGGAATGACCTATCATCATAAAGACCATGTTGTTTGGGGCTATTGGGTGGAAGAATCCAACTCTTAGCACTGAGATTTCTCTCTCTTTCTTTTGTCGACACCTGCTGTTGATTTCGGTTACATAAGTGTAAAGCCAGAATAATTTAATAATTTAGTCTAGATTTGTGCCAGTGTAACCAATATAGAATGGGTCCTGGTGGTCATATCCTCTTAGTAGCTGGGATGTTTGTTTCCAATGGATTTTGTTCTTTTCAGCTTGGGGGACATGGATTTTTCCATCCCAAATCCCTCTGCCCAGTAACCTCAGGGGAATAGAAAGAGTTGTTGATTCTGTCCAGTGGTTCCAGAGAATAACAGGGAATGCCATACAGATTGTAGGCAGCAGCAGTACCCAGAGCTGTGGTGGTCTGTTTAATGGTCACTAACCATAATCCTGGAAAGGCAGTTCCTGTTCACAAAATGTCACTGTCCATGTGTGCTTGTTTATGCTCACTCAAAAAACAAAACAAAACAGGATTTTCATTCCTTTACCTCCTTTGGGAGGGCTGGCATCTGTTGGCATTTTCATCTCCTTGCTAGATGAGAGTTAGACCACACTATAATTTAAACACCAACAGGAACATGGAGCCTTGTCTTTACTAGGACCCCCCCACCCTGCTAAGTGATGCAGCTAAACAAGAAGTAGCAACACTAGAAGATTTTAGCAGAGTTTCTAAGCCTTGGAGTCTGCCTGCCATGTTTTAAAAAAGCCCAGATAATAATTAACATACTACAGAAAACTGGAGCTTCAGCTATGCGGTGACTCCTTAGTAAGTCATAGAATCATAGAAAATTAGGGTTAGAAGGGACCTTAGGATGTCATCTAGTCCAACCCCCTGCTCAAAGCTGGACCATCCCCCAACTAGATCATCCCAGCCAAAATTTTGTCTAGCTGGGTCTTGAAAGCCTCCAGTGATGGAGATTCTTTCCACCACCTCTCCGGGTAACCTGTTCCAGTGTTTTACTACCCTCTTAGTGAGAAAACTCTTTCTAATATCTAACCTAAACTTCCCTTCCAGCAACTTGAGACCATTGCTCCTTGTTCTGTCATCTGCCATCACTGAGAACAGTCTAGCTCCATCCTTTTTCAAACTCTGCTTCAGGTAGCTGAAGGCTGCTATTAAAATCCCCCCTGTCTCCTCTTCTCTAGACTAAATAAACCCAGTTCCCTTAGCCTCTCCTCATAAGTCATGTCCCCCCAGCCCCTTCACCATTTTTGTCACCCTCTGCTGGACTTTCACCACTATCTCTACATCCTTTCTGTAGTGGGGGCCCGAAAACTGAACACAGTACTCCAGATCTGGCCTTACCAGTGCTGAATGGAGGGGAATCATCACTTCCCTTGACCTACTGGCAGCACACCTTCCAATGCAGCCCAGCATGCCATTAGCCTGCTTGGCAACAAGGGCACACTGCTAGCTCAGATTCAGCTTATAACCCCCACTGTAACCCCCACGTCCTTTTCTGCAGAGCTGCTGCCCACCCAGTCAGCCCCCAGCCTGTACCAGTGGATGGGATTCTTCCATCTTAAGTGCAGGATTTTGCACTTGTCCTTGTCCTTGTTGAACCTCATGAGATTTCTTTTTGCCCTGTTCTCCAATGTGTCTAAATCACTCTGAACCCTAGCCCTACCCTCCAGTATATCTACTAGTCCCCGCAGCTTGGTGTCATCTGCAGACTTGCTGAGGGTGAACTCTATGCTGTCTTCCAGGTCATTGATGAAGACATTGAACAAAACTGGCCCAAGGACTGACCCACTTGATACTGACTGCCAACAAGACACTGAGTCATTGATTACTACCCTTTGAGCCTGATGCTCCAATCAGTTTTCTATCCACTTTACAGTCCATTCCTCCACCCTGTACTTTCTTAGCTTGCCTGTGAGAATGTTGTGGGAGAGTGTGTCAAAAGCCTTGCTAAAATCAAGGTACACCTCATCCACCAGTCTCCCTACATTCACAGAGCCAGTCATCTCATCACAGAAGGCAATCAGGTTGGTCAGGCATGCCTTACCCTTGGTGAATGCATGCTGACTGTTCCTAATCACCTTTTTCTCCTCCACGTGCTTAGAAATGGATTTCTTGAGGATCTGCTCCATGATTTTTCCAGGGACTGAGGTGAGGCTGACTGGTCTGTAGTTCCCTGGATTCTTCTTTTTCCCTTTCTTAAATAGGGGAACTATGTTTGCCCTTTTCCAATCATATGAGACCTCTCCTGATTGCCGTGAGTTTTCAAAGATGATGGCCAATGGCTCTACATTTACATCAGCCAACTCCTTCAGCAGCCTCAGGTGCATCCCATCTAGCCCCATGGACTTGTTCACATCTAGCTTTTCTTGGTCCCTAAACAGTTCTTTCATTACTGAGGGCTCACCTCCTCCCCAAACTGTGCTGTCCAGTGCAGTAGTCTGAGAGCTGACCTTGCCTTTGAGGGCGAAAGCAAAAAAGGCATTGAGCACTTCAGCTTTTTCTGCATTCTCTATCACAAGGTTGCCTCCCCAGTTCAGTAAGGGACCCACACATTCCTTGATCCTCCTCTTGCTACTGACATGCTTGTAAAAAGACTTCTTGTTACCCTTCACATCCCTTGCTAACTGCAACTCCAATTGTGCTTTGGCTTTCCTGACTTCATTCCTGCATGCTTGTATTCCTATGCAGACACAGCTTTTCAGGATAAATCCCTGATTTTGCCATTACAGCTTATGACAGATCCATGAACTCCATAAAAAGAAGCACTATTTTGTCAGTATAACTGCAGCTACACCAGGGATTTTGCCTGTATAAAAATGTAGTGAAATCCCACCCCTCGCTGACAGTACTTCAAGACTGGCAAAAGGTTGAGCGTAGGACTGGCCTAATTATGGACAACTCTCAGGCGTATCAAAGGCAGGAGAAAGGTATTGGGGGAGGGATTTTTTTTATGAAAGTCCCTTTCAGAGAATAAACTCTGGCCCTGGCTTTGCAGTAGGTGGAAACAAGTCCTGCACTCTCAGAGGATGGCTGTCTGTTGGGCTCTGATCTTCCCCAGGATGTTCACACCTCCCCCTCAGCCTTTGAAGTGGGATGCACAGTTTGGAAGCTGCCTGGCTCCCTACTGGGGGCATTAGGGGCTAACTAAATCTCAGGATTCTTACCCTGTGAGGTAGCAACTCATTGTTCTGGGGGACAGGGAGAGAGAGAGACACCTGATGGGCTGGAATAATTGAAGGTCGATGCTGGTGTGATGCCAGGGGAGTGCTGAACTGGGCAGAGCGTGCAAAGCATGCTGGGTCTTCTTATTGCACCCAGGCTGCTGCTGTGGAGCCTGAGCTGCCTCATCCATGGGAGTGCTGATGAGCTAACTCCCTTTCTGTTCAATTCAAAAAGACTTTGGCTTTGTCCACTCTGATCTGCTCAATGCAGCTATTTTGGCAGGGAACAGTAGCTGCCAACATGCACACACAGCCATGTATGTACTTCTGGAGCGTTCACACACCTCCCTTACAACAGCTGACTACCAGAGTGTGAACCACACCCTGGGAAAGCACCAACTGCAGAAGGGACCATGGCAGCCAGCAGAAGAATGACCTACACATGCCTTTTGCCAGCTATGGATGGCAGCAGAAGCCTTGCTCCACTCAGGAGAAGTGGCAAAAAGGAGGGTCCTACTGCTGTTGAGGTGCATTAGGGTTGGATGCACTCAAATTGCTGATGCCAAAACTTTGTAGTGTCAACCAAGCCTCTACTGCCTTGACAAGCCATTGAGCATAGAGTGACACAGTCCATGAGTGTAGAGATGCTTAAAATGCATTTCAGGCACTCAGACAGGAAGGAGTGCAATAACAGATCAATTAATAAACACCATGCATAGTTCTTAAGGAGTATGTTTCATGTACAGGTTCCAGTATACTTTAGAGATGTAGAGTAGTATTATCATGCCCATTTTACAGATGAGGAAACTAAGGCACAGACAAGAGGGAGTCTGTGGGAGAGGAGTGCTTTGCCCGATGTCGTGCAGCAGGCTTCTGGCAGAGCCAGGGGTAGCATCCAGCTTTCCCAGTTCCCAGTAAGTAAGAGCTCCTCCTTTCTGTACCATGTATACTCTAGAAGCTCCTAGTTTCATGAGCCGTATTTATAAATATACTTAAAATAGAGTATACAAGTATGGCCAAAATATATGTATTAGTTAGCACTCTCTCTTATTGACTGTTTCTTTTCCTCTTAGTAATATTCAGCAGTGTTCTAGCCCCTTTAATAACTGGCTCTCAAAAAGAGTCCTAGAAATGTCAGCCTGGCAATTCCCCACCCTTCCCCCCACCTTCCACCCAAGGATGTAACTCTTTTTATTACCATTTTATCAATGGGAGACAGAGGCACAGAAAGGTTCAGTGACTTGTCTGATGTCCCAGAGCTAGTTTGTAACAGAGCTAGGGAAAAATCCAAAGTTGCCTGAATCCCAGCCTATTGTCTTAACCATAAGGCCAGTCTTTCTTCCTTAGACCGTGGTCTCTTATGCTGTCTGCCTGCCTGTCTGTCTTCCTAGCTCTTTGTTCTTTCTCCTTGAGAAAAAGTTGGGGGCCAGAGTAGGGGTGTAAATATCAATGAAATGTCCCAAACAAAGAACTCTGCCCTCATCCCTGCAGAGAATCCCAATAAGTTACAGTTGAGCTAGAAGCACCCCCCACACACAGCCCTCCCCTGAGGCGAGTGGTCTTCAGGCACAGCCTTCGGCATGCTGACCAATACTGCCAATAGCAAACGATCAATTGATCAGATCCATGTATTTCTGGCTAGCTGACACCAGCACTGCCCTCTTGCCAGCCTCCAAACACAGGCTTTGCCTCTGCCTTTCTGCCTTTGAAACAGGGTTTCACATGAGTTGTAGCGGGTGATTCACTGCTTGTTTGCTTTTTGTTTAGGGAGGATTTGGCTTCTGTGCCGTGCCTCGGAGCGTTCTCCTTGGGAAGGATGGATCTGCCGCAGCTCTTGAGACTCCTTCTCACTGCCTGTGTGTTTGGCCTGACCCAGACAGTTAACCCCTTTGTAGGTCAGCAGACTCCCCCTGACCCATGCTATGATGAGAACGGTGCCCCTCGGCGCTGCATCCCTGAGTTTGTCAATGCTGCATTTGGAAAGGAAGTGCAGGCCTCCAGCACATGCGGGAAGCCCCCCACTCGCCACTGCAATGCATCAGACCCTCGCAAGGCACACCCACCCTCCTACCTCACTGATCTGAACACTGCTGCCAACATGACCTGCTGGCGCTCTGAGATGCTCCACCACTCACCACAAAACATCACCCTTACTCTCTCCCTGGGCAAGAAGTTTGAGGTGGTTTATGTGAGCCTGCAGTTTTGCTCCCCTCGTCCTGAATCAACAGCCATTTTTAAATCTATGGATTATGGCAAAACCTGGGTGCCTTACCAGTATTACTCCTCCCAGTGCCGTAAGATCTATGGCAAGCCCAACAAAGCCACTGTCACCAAACAGAATGAGCAGGAGGCACTATGCACTGATGGGCAGACAGACCTCTATCCGCTCACTGGGGGCCTCATTGCCTTCAGCACCCTGGATGGACGACCCTCTGCCCAAGACTTTGACAACAGTCCTGTGCTCCAGGACTGGGTGACAGCCACAGACATCCGGGTCATCTTCAGTCGTCCGCATGTGTTCCGGGATAAGGGAGGTCGAGACAATGATGAGGAGGATGGTGGGACCAGTTCATCTCCGTACTACTATGCAGTGGGTGAGCTTCAGGTCGGAGGCCGATGCAAATGTAATGGGCATGCCTCCCGTTGCGTGAAAGACAAGGAAGACAAGCTGGTCTGTGACTGCAAGCACAACACTGAGGGCCCTGAGTGTGACCGCTGCAAACCCTTCCATTATGATCGGCCATGGCAGAGGGCCAACACCAGAGAGGCCAATGAATGCTTAGGTAAGAATTCCCCTCTTCCCCTCCCAACTGTAATCAACCAACAGCTGGGAAGAGTCTTTCAGGAAAACAAGGAGAGATGCAGTGGGACAGCATTCTCTCTGTCCATATAATTCCCACTGGCCTGGTTCTGTAGTGGCCAATAGAGTCTTGCCAGGGATAGATCTGGTTCACTGTTCTGCTTCTTGGGATCTCCAAGAGAGAAACTGATTAGGTTTGGACAAATTAAGAACTTCTACCATCCCACGCACCTTTTGGTTGACACCTACAACTAACAGAAAACCCACATACTTTAGAGGTTGGATAAACTTAAGTAATTTTTTTTTTACTTCTTCATTATGTTTCAGGGTAGCAGTAGATCAGGGTTGGGCAAAATACAGCCCATGGGCCAGATATGGCCCACCAAGCACTTTCATCTGGCCCACGGCACCCCACAAAGTATTGCACCCTTCCCAGCCCCTCCACCCATGAGGATGGGAGTGAGGCTTCCATGTGTACAGCCCCCCAACATATCCTATTGGGCCTTGCTCCCACCCTCTTGGGTGGAAGGGCTCTGCCTAGCCAGCAGCTTCCAGGCAGGGCTCCTGCTGCAGCAGAACCTGCTTGCTTGGGGCAGCAAATAGGGAAGCGGCAGGGCTGGTAGGGGGGTGTGGAGTTGCAGCTGGGCAGAAGCGGGAGTGCAGCGCAGGGCCTGTGCCCAGAGGGGCAGCAGGAGTGCGGAGTTCAGCTGGACAGGGTGTGAATGTGAGGCAGGGGTGTAGGGACCCCCCCACATTCTCCCTATGGCATGCAGCAGTAGGTGGAGAGGTCAGGGCACTTCTGCTTGGAGCAGTCGCCTGGTGGGGTGCAGCTCCGGCCAGCGCTGCGTGGAAGGAGGGGGTGGAGCCTACTCTATTGCCGGGGCTCTGCAATGCATGCCTGCAGCTCCAGCACTCTCAGTCGAGGTAGCCCCGTGCTGGAGCCTCCTGCCTCCCTTGCTCCCTGCTGTGCAGGTCCCCACATTCTGCAGGGAGTGGAGGGAGCCCCACCCCCTGTTTCTTCAAGGAGTCCAGTGTGGGGCTTCCCTGCTGCAAGTGTGGAGTGTGCAATAGAGGTGGCCAGTGTTGTGCTGGGGGCGAGGAGCGCACCCCCACGGAGCCTGCCTGTTTGTTTCTATCGCAGGGGCTCTGAGCCACATGCTTGCACTCGCAGTGGGGAAGCCCTGCGCTGGACTCCATGGGGAAGCAAGGGGCAGGACTCCCTCCACTCCCAGCAGAGTGTGAAGATTGGTGCAGCAGGGAGCAGGAGCAGTCTCCAGTGCGGGGCTTCCCCAGTGTAGGCACATGGCATGGAGCCCCTGTGATATGGCAGGCTCTGCTCCTTCCACACATGAAGCGCTGGCTGGAGCCATGCCCCATTGGGCACCTGCACTAGGCACAAGTGCCCTGACCTCCCCGCCTCCTGCTGCTGCTGTTGGTAGTGGGGGTTGCACACCATGGGGGCAGTGTGGAGGGAGTCCCTACACCCCCTACCCTCCCTCACACCCCACACACCCACACCCTGCCCCCACATCCCCCACTGACATATACATACAGCCCAGCATACCCTATGCCCCCTACACAGCCACACCCTCTCACAACTGCCCCACACACTTCCACACTGCACCACACACACACACTATAAAAGTGACACTTTATTTTTCAGTTATTATGCAATCCCTTCTATGTACAGTAAACAATCACAAATCATGACAAATATTTTTTGTAATAAAATTAAAGTATGTTCTAGTCGGTGTTTGACTTATAGTGTATGATTTGGGTTTTTTCTGGTTCTAAGATGGCAACCCCCCTCCCAAAAGGAGCATTGTGGGGGGAGGGGAGGGCCAACAAGGGGAGGGACTTCCAGTGGCAAAGGTCTGGGGTTAGTCCATGAATTGGCTAGTAGCAAAAGTGACAAACTGTCCTGAAAAGTTTATTATCATTGTTTACTGTTAATATGGTGCCATAAACATCAAACATGGCACTTTACAGCACAAAAAATGCTCAAGGCTGGATCCTGCTCTTAATTATGTGGTGTAATGAGGGGTTTATTTTAGTATGGGATATTAGATTACACCAGTGTTACGCTGGTATGAGTGAAGTCAGAAGTCAGTAGGGTTGGCTGGGACTTTTCCATAGATTTTTTTTGGTTGAAAATGCTGATTTGTTGAAACCAAAGTTATGTGCGAGGAAGGGTGGGTTTTGGTGAGTCACTGGGTTTGCAAAATTAAAATGAAAAAAAGTGTTGACATATTTAAAATGTCCCAGTTCAACATGTTCTAAACAAAACCTTTCAGGTTTGAAATAAGTTGGGGTTTTTTTAAATTGAATTTAGGTTACAGCTGACCTGATCTGATTTTTTTTCAGGATAATTTTTTAGATTTTAGTATTTTGTTTTAGTTCCAGGTGGAGAAATAAATGTCAAAATGGCATAACTCTGCCAGAACAGGAAAATTGATTCCTACCCAGGTCTAGAATGCAGCCCTGACTTCCACAGGAGTATGAAAGCGAAAGAAAAGAACCGTGTCTTTAATTGGCTATAGAGGCTAATAGTGTAGAGGATATTGGACAGGTTTGTTAGTTTTTATACTTAACTCCCAAGTCAAACCCCACCTTTCTATTAAAAGCATTATATCATAAGTATTTTTATAAGGACCTACAACCAACAGGTCAAAAGAGGACACTGATTTTGTGAAGGTGTCTCAAAACTGGACTCTGAAAATCTGAAAATGTATCAACTAGTATATTTTCTCTCCATTCTCAGAAAGAATCAATTTTTTTAACACTTTCAAAACACAAAGAAATGTGAACTCTTCCCTCACCCCAGCCTCAGGTGGAGATCCAGTCTGGGATGGTTCAGAGTGCAAGGGGGAAGTTCAGGTAGACCAAAGTCAGAAATAGGTTCTTAAACTAGGAAAAATTGATCAACCTTAATGAAAACTCCTTGCATTTTCTGCAGGCCATAATAAATCAAAGCGTCACTGGGCACTTTTACACATACTCCGACGCGGTCTGATTAGAGCAGATCAGAGCAGACTCGATTAATCAAGTCTGCTGGAGTGTTCCAATCAGAGTGCTCCAGCATCTCGTGTATTCAGCATCCTTGCATTTCAAAATGGCTGTGGGGGCACTTTAACTAAAGCTTGTCAAATAAACTTTAGTTAAAGCACCCCATTGCCATTTTGAAATGTGGGATGCTGAATACATGAGGTGCTGTGGGAATTTTAATTAGAGTGGCTCCTGAGTACCACTCTAATTAAAATCCCTCCACCCCTACCCCAGAGCACATGTACAGAGCACAGGGGTACATGTGCTCTGGGGTAGGGGTGGAGGGAT